CATTGGAACCTTGAAATAACATAATATTTACAAACGATTTACAATAACTGTTGTCAGTGATTTAAAAAAGTGACTTCGAAATAAACACCGCCCTCGAATAAACCCCGCTCTTGATTACAGGCCGCATTGGAAACGCTAAAAATTTAATAAACGCTGCGACGTTTAATCGTATAAATACGATAAGCCACATGCAGTCATAGACTGCCTGTTTTTTCTTCCTAGGATGTATGTGTAGCTTCTTAATAAAAACTTCAAAACATATTTTTCCAACAATAATTGCCGTCTCAATTTATTCTATTCTTATTATACTTCTTCTTGAAATAGGCCTAGAAATAATCTCTGAAAACTGCAACCGATAACCTGGTAGATATTCTAGTGATTTAGATTTTACAGCAGGTTTACATAAATAAGTTTCTTGGTTGCTCAACGACCAATAAAAACATACTCTTGGCCGTCCTGACGGGGGCAACCTGTTAGATGACAATAAATCTACTCTTTCAGGTATTTAGACCATTCACACAAACCAGATGTGAGAGTAAACACGCTTGATATGAGTTTCCCACTCTAAAAATTCAGAATTGAGCCCGTGATCGAATAAGATACCAGCGGAAAACTTCAAAAAATACGTCAACTCAATAGGTAAAAAATGTGCCCGCGATAGAGAAAAGAGATGGTGGTCAGCGGATGCCCCAGTTTGACAGCTGTTAATTGGCCTTCATAAGGATGGCAAATATTTGAATAAACGGACTGCGAATCTGACAGCTTGGAGGGGAAGTGTTGGCGAAATGACGGGTCGTAGATGGTAGTTACCCTTAATCGTGTCCAAATAGTTTTAACAACATTATTTTATAATACTTTATATTAACATAGGTTCTATAGAACGCTGAAAAACTTTTACCTCTTTTCATGAGTGAAAGGCCTCCGAAACAGTGTAGTTAATATCAAAAATACTACGGTTGATTTAGAAACATTTTCTCTTGATTACCGTCAACCGTCAAACCTACCCCCCCCCCCCCCCCCCCCCCCACTCAACCCCCCCCCAAACAACAGGGCGTGGGGGGGGGGGGAGGGCGTTTTTGTACAAACAATAGGCGCCGCGGTATAAAGGGCGAAAAAAACACGAGACAGCAAGAGAGACGACCACGACACAAAACACGCACACTAACACCACGTACACCCACTCGTACCCCCCCCCCCCTCCCCCCTAGATATAGACCCTCATAGATACAGAGTGTTAGTGGGGCAGGAACGCGTTTTTGTCGAAACCTTAAGAGCGCCTGCGTTAAAGGCTAATAGAAATGCCGAAATTTCCCCTTTCTTTCTCGTCAGAAACGAAAGTTCGCAAATTGTTGTCCAAATTCTCGAATTTTCACCGAATTTTGGCGAAGTACGCCCTCATTTCTTTTGTACATTACTGCATATAATACATGTAGACTGCTTATGACCAAACGAACTTCCATGCAGCAGTTTTTGAGCATGGTTATAGTAGGAATCAAATCGTGACCTCATCGATGAATATTATCTTAATTTCTTAATTGTCTTTTGTAGGTTTTCGGCAGCCAATCAATTCAACGCATTACACAATGTGTAAAGAAGAATGTAAGTTATTATGCTCTAATTTTTACGTAAATAATCACTTAACAGAAATTTAAAGCATAGAATGAAAACTGAAAATAATGCCAGAATGAAGTATAAGATACATCATACGAGAAACATGAGACGGCAGAATGTAACAGTGTAATGGCATCTTTATTTCGCTCCAATCACAGCGATTTACAGAACACATCAAGCAGAAAAAAAAAAACAAACAAACAAGAAAATTGAGTTCAACAGCCTCGTGGTCCCTATAGGCACTTGCGGTCAGCCAAAGGAGAGCCTTTTTGTTGAGCAAGCCATCCTAAAAGGGAAGAGAGGAGAAAAAGCCACAGCAATGAAAACATTAAAACGTGGGTGGGATTACATTGTTACATTCCGTGTCATTTTCTCGTATAATGTATCTTATACTTTAGGACCTAAGGTCCCTTGTATAATCAGTTTGAAGTATGTGAAATACTGCTGGGCAAATTTTCCAATCTGAGGAGTCCAGGTGAAACCTGAATTCCCTGTCTGCTGTCACATTCAAGATGCCCGGAATGTGTGTGGCAGACACCCTTATCTGCCTCTGTAGACACCATTGCCAAAGGTCGCGAGACAGAGAGCCCAGGAAACGAGATTTGTTCCCCCCCCCCCTATCTTTTTGATAAAACACAAGAACGCGCTTACAGGGGCATGCAGTCTCGCCTGCTTGGAGATTAGATCGAGAAATGAGGAGGCAATTAAGTCTACAAGAAACATGATTTACTCGCTAAAGGTTTTTTTACTTCCCTACTTTATCGACGTCGATACTTTTTATTTGTTTCTGAACTGATTTAGTACGCGTGTTAGCGACGACCAGAAATATCTCTGTTGTAGCAGGCTATACGCGTGTATAAATACACGAAATTTCAAGGGCCTCGATTCCAGAGAAATTACATCATTGCCAGATATCAAAAAAGTGATTTACATTGCACGTCATTTCAATCATCGCCGAAAATAAATCGTATGCTCATCACAAGAGCCATTTGCATACAGTGAAAGTTTTCAACACCCGACCATCGCAATTTTTCTCCGCAAGGAACGCCTGCCATAATGACCTACCTTTTGTGTCCTAAATACGACCAAAATTCCGCGGGGTGTACTTTCAAAAAAATTGGGTTGGGGTGTGTGGTACGCTTCCTGAAACCCTTACCCTATTTCAGACCAAAATCTGGGATTTTTTCCACCCTATTTCAGACCTGAAGCCCTCCTGGAGCCCGGCGCGTGACCCGGAGCGCGTGACAAGCTGTTACGGCATGTACACGGTAGTTGGCGTAAACATAAAAAGGGAAATGGTCTTATCGCCAAATGATGAAGAAGTAGCTAATTCTTCTAAAAAACATACCCAATTCAAGACTAGAGTGCACAAACCATACCCTATATCAGACCAAAATGAACGAAATTGATACCCTATTTCAGACCAAAATGGCTAAAAAACAATACCCTTTGGCGCTGCTCACAGGGGCACCCAACGAGAATATAGTTCAAAACCACTTAAACATAGCATTGTTAAGCGTATTTTAGTATTTAAACGGTAGATATAGGCATATTTTTATCCCCTAAAAATTTTTCATCTGTTCGGATTTCCTAGCTGAAAGTCTAGTGATCCGAAAATTATAGGGATCAAAACTTACCTTTTCGAAAATTCAAGCCAGAAAAGAGGCTCCCTAAAATTCTAGGTGACCTTTTTAGGGTAAAAAAATCCGTTTAAAATGGGCAATTATTTTTTTTGATGTTCAAAAATCCTAGGAGAGGCAGGCAAGCAAGAAATTTTACAACAAATGTTCCGAAAATTCTAGATCTCAAATCGTCCTCCGAACAGATATTTTCCAAAAATTGACGTTGAGTGCCCCTGTGCTCATACCTATATAGCCTATATATAGAGGATATTACACGGTGGCGCGAAGATATGAATTTTTTTTTCGAGTGGCAAAACAATATTTTACGAACGAGCGCAGCGAGTGGCAAAATATTGTTTTTGCCACGAGAAAATAAAATTCATATCTTCAAGCCGCCGTGTAATGTTCTTTTTATTATATAGACAAAAAGACATCGATAAAAAAATAGATTTTTATTCGCCAAAAAGTAATTGCGAAGGCTCAAATTTACAGTACAGGAATATGACATTGGTTACAATAATCTTGAGAAATAACATTGAGCTCAATAGGGCTCTACAATGACAAAATATACGCAACGCTTTGAAAAATGTGGAAGTAAAATTCAAAAGACGTAAAGACGCCTACAAATTTCGAAGGGAGATTACCGAAATTATGTCATCGATAAACTCACGTGTGAGATTATGGAAAATAAACCACTCGGGTCCCGGATGTAGTTTTTATGAATTTTACAAGTGGTATATTCTCCAGTAAAACACTCGTGTCTATATAATAAAAGGGACTAACCCCACAGGGCGAAAAACGCGTTGCAGATTATGAGTCTCGCTGCTTACGCAAGAGAGACTAATAAGTGCGGTCACATTGTCCATCAGAAGCTGAATATATTTGAAAGTTTGTTTTTCCTTTTGCAAGAATTTGATCGCAAAGGAGCTTCCTGGCTCAGAAGTACCTGAGACTAGTAATGGCCTCATGATCGGAGGGCTTGGATCTTTGCCTGTCGTAGGTAACGGTATAATAATACAGTGGGGCAGGGAAAACTGCTTGAATGGAGGAGCTCAAATGACCTTAGAGATGTGCTAATTGCCGCACTATTGTAACTGGGTTTTATAATCAGACCTCGGCACTCCCTGCGAATACTCATGACTTTGTCCCAGGAAAGAGCGAGGCAAAGAGTTACCGCATCTACAGACATAACCAGAAGCTCTATTTTCTGCACTGAGGACAGCACACTCCTCTTTAGGTTGTTAACAAAACCCAAGCTCTCTAGGAGATTTAGAGCAGTTGCCAGATGGAGTCTGGCGGTCTGTTCTCAGTCTGCCAGGATAATGTGAAGGTCGTCGAGATATATAATCAGGCGAATTCCTAAGTCCCGAAGAGTTGCCATCACAGGTTTCATGGCTTTGCTGAACGTCCTGGGGATACTGGCCAGCCCAAATGTGAGGCATGCAAATTCCCATAGAGTCTTTTTTCAGATGATCCTTAAGTACTTTTGATGCCCTTTCCAGACTGGGACAGTAAAGTAAGCGTCTTTTAGGTCCAGAGGCCGTGAAGTCTCCTTGGAGATCTCTTTACATAGAAATTTCCTCCTTTTTGAAATGTTGGACATCCACAAAGGAGTTTAGATTCGTTAGGTTTATAACAGGGCCGTAGCGGCCGTCTTTCTTGTCGACCAGAAATCTACTGCTGACCGCTGACAAGCTCCCCCGCCCCCCCGCCTCCCTTCGGTGTTGAAGAGAACTGGGTGGATAGCTCCTAGCAGGGCCATCTTGTCTATCTTCGCTTGAACAGCCTCCTTTTGGGCAGTTGAAACGAAAGTGCGGGGAAAGGCTTCCCGATGAGGAACTGAATGCACTCTATCTTGTAGCCCATAATGGTCTCCAACACCCAAGGGTAGTCTGTGAAATAAGATGCCGATTGGCCTGAAAATACCTGGGGCGACCTGCCACTTGTGCTGAGGCAGAGTGTATTGGTAAAAGATTTAGGGACGTACCTGTAGTTGTTGCTTGCTTGAGGTTTCGCTTGGGGAGGGAAGGTAGCACTTTCCCCTTGGTTGATAAGGACGAGTTCTGGTTTGCCAGCAACCCTGGAGGGCTCCTCGTCGTCCCTTGTTCCATGACCCTCCACGTGCCAGGAAGAAACGAACACGTAGAGGGTTTGAGAGAAAATTCTGGTGTCCCACTTTCTTAGCTTCAGATAGTTCTGCAGCTGTCTCTGTACGTTTTTTCAGACGCGACGCAAAACCTTTACCAAAAAGGTCTTCACCTGCTTCGGGGAAATCCTCTTTTCCTAGGGAAGAATAAGCTTTGTTTACTTTTGATACAATTCTACAGAAACGCAGAGTGGCAGTCCTGGCTGAAGCATGTTCTGTTAACTGAAGCGACCTCTGGATGATAGCCATCAGGCCAGTCACCTCCCCTTTTGGAGAGCTGGATTATGGAGGTCCACGTTAGGTCTTGGGTATTCTTTAACAATCAGACGGTTGTCAAATTTAGATAATGGCTTCCTTGCTGTGCCGAACAAGGTTAAAAGATTTCCCGACTCCCAAGCGTACGCTCCTATAGCGTCATGTTTTTCTTGTTGAATTCTGTAAATGGCTGTGATTGTAGCGAGATAAAGATGGCATTGCATTGTCATACATGGAGTCGAATGCTTTGAAGTATAATTCTGGAACAATGCTGAGTGCTTTTTTGGGAATTTACGCCCAAAGTCAATAAACTAAACAAACTGCGCGGGGTTTTCAAAGCAGGGCTTTCATAGAAATCTAAAAGATCCCTTTCAGTACTAATGTTCTTCTCTTTTGCTTTCTCAGTTGCGAGGGTCGCTAGCTTCCCATGCAGACGAGGAACAAGTGACGAAGCCCTAAGAACGTCACTCTGCGTGGGAAGCTAGAGGGTCGCTGTTCTCAATTCAAAGGGCTGAGTCGCTGCAGCTGAAGGCCTTGTTACTCTTGGCATTTCCGCCGTTCCTAGACAACTTGTACGGGACATTAATTGACTTTCATAATTTGTTACACTTGCTGAAATGTCATGAACATTTTGCAAGGAAAAATACCCAGTGATAAAGGGCACTTCAGTCAATCCATACTGTTTACTTTTGTCAATTAGTTGGTACTCGGAAAGTTTATTTTTGTGAAAAAATTCTAAATGACAAAATAGCAGCTTACCGACAATCAAATTCTTCGCAGTGCTTCGATAAAAAGATACAAAAACAATTAGCTTTTAATAACTGACAGGATAAAAACTTTCCAACGTCAACTGCAATCCGTTTTGACAAGAATTTTGTCCTTGTTCATGTCTTGGCCTCTATTTAATATATTAATAATAAAATAATCTTAAATTTATAGAGGAAACTCCCATCACATAAAGTGGTTTTCACGGAGGTCCTCTGACTAAGATTAAATAATATTAAAACTGCTAATAACAATCAAATCTAAAAAACTAGTGGTTATAAAGTTAAAAGGCTAAAAAGGCCAGACGACTAGAAAAAGCAAAAAAAGTAATAAAAATACAGTCAGACTAAAAGACTTAACTATCGAAAAAACAAAAGCGAACGACTGAAAGGATAAAATGAAAATTTACAAACTACAATATTTAGCTCTTAAAAACCTTTTTAGGTCCCGTTTAAAAATTTTGCAAGGCGTAGGTTTCCTTAAAAAAGTTGGAAGAGTGGTCCAGTCACTAATGTACCTATACAGGGTGTCCCAAAAGTTCGTTCCTCTAATTTCATGCGCTTTACCTATTGATCAAAACTTTATTCTTGCATGAAATTTCTAGAAGATGTTTATTGCTCTATCGAGTACATGTATTCAGAATTTCAGTAACCGGCATTCCCCCTCCGTTATTTTATCACATTCAGTAGCCGTTGCAGAAGGAAGTGGGATACAGCATGTAGAGCCACCAGATGACTCTATTTTGAGCTTTTTTTAATCACCTGTTACGCAGCATCCAGTTTTCCACTTTCACCTCCCCGCCCGAATCACCCGAGCGTTTTTAACTGCATTTGGCAGGCTGTTAACATAAATGTTGAATAACAAAGGGCCCAAAAGGCTCCCCTGTGGGACTCCGTATGTGATAGCGCGACGATCAGACAATTCACCAATACTCTTTGACGTCTGTCAGCAAGACATAATCGGAACCAACGCAGTGATCTTGAAGACAAACCTAGAGACTCTAACTTCCTCAGGAGATTTTTATGATTCAGAGAATTAATGCCTTCGAAATATCGACAAACAATAGACCGGTAACGTTCCCGCCGTCCACAGCCTCTAGGCCCCAGTCATTTAATTGAGCGATAGTCTGTTGAGTGCTATGGCCACGCCTGAATCCATACTGATGTTTGTAAAGATAGCCTAGCTGATCTAGATGAATACCCAGCTGAGTATGTACAACTCTTTCCATAACTTTGCTCAACGCTGGCAGTACAGAGATAGGGCGATAGTTCTCAACTAGCAGCGTATCATCGGTCTTATGTAAGGGGGTAACGTACGCCACTTTCCACAATGCTGGGACTGTTTCATCGTTAAGTGATTTATTAACCAGGAACGTAATTGACGGAGTTAGCTCCTTGCCAGCATCTCTCAGCAGTCTTGCAGGTATTTTATCAAGGCCAGCCAGCTTTCTTATTTTCAAGGAACGCAGAATCTCCTCCACAGTCTTATATCCAACCTGTTGGAAGTCCCAGGGTTCTCTGTCATCACACTTCCTCTCAAGCTCGTACTTCTTCCAAGCATCTGTATCCACAGGAGGTAGATGCCCGGCTATTTTGTAGCGCCAATAGTTGCAAAAAACCTATTGAACTTCGTCGCAACTTCCTTTGGTTCTAATAGAAGACGTTTGCCGTCTTGTACTTGTAAAGGAGAACCACAATCTTGCTTAGAACCAACAACGGAATTTAATGAGCGCCACCGCTCCTTTAGATCTGTAGCAGACTCGATCAAGTTCTTATAGTGCAAAGCCTCAGCCGATTTTAACTTTTTGTTTGTTAGGTTTTTGAGACTTCGATCATTATCCCATTGTTCCTTCGTGACTGATTTTTTGGCAACCTTTGTAGCATAATCTCTTTCAGTCATTAGCTTTCTTAGGTCATTTGAAATCCACGGCTTGGACGAACTTTTCATTCCAATTTTCTTTAAAGGTGCATGCCTGTTTGCAAAATCAACAAAAAGATAGTTCCAGATGCCCACGGCATCATTGATATCATCGAAAGATTCCAAAATACTCCAGGGAATAGCTGCAATGTCCTTTATGAATTGTTCTTTGTTGTAATGCTTGAAAGATCATACTCCTCTCAATTCAGGAAGAGCTTTAAAAGTGCCGCCTTTCTTAATGGCAAAAAAAACGGAGTGATCACTTGCTCCAACAAATCACTCAACAAGCTACCAACAGCCGTGGAGAAACATTTCGTGTCTTTTCAAAGATCTTTCAAAATGAAAGTGTTTCTTTACAAAACCAAGGAGCTTTGGCATTAAATTTTCGTAGGCAAATCCTTAAGATTGGTGTGGAGTCTTTGTTGACAATAGCTTGAACGCTGTGAAAAGTTGTGAGCAAGTTGGTGTGTCGTTTAGCTGCTGTTTCCTTGGTGCGTTTTGCTTAACTTAAGTTCATGTGTGCATTATATAACAAATATTGGATTCGGTTTCCCATGATAGCGAGAATTATCAAGACTTTGGTTTGTTTTATCCGCCTTAGTCTTCGGCTTTGGGAGATAACTCAACCTTAGCTTTGATAGTTTTCGCTATCATGCTCAACCTCATAAAAATTGTTAATTATTACTATCTGCTTTTGCTATTCATTGACATGATTTGGCACACTGAGTCCCTTGGTATCACAGAACTGCCCCTACCCTATCCCTTTAAAAACCCTGCCATAATCCACCCCTAAAAGTGTTCATTAATGTACTGCTAACTTCCCTTCATGATATTTGTTTTTTCTAGTTTCGTTTCGTTAAATATTCGATTGGCCAATCTCCAACTTGGATTTATCAAACAGTTGAACCTAATTCGACGTGTACGTTCAAATTTGCCACAGAAAGCGGCTTCTTCCTTGAAATTGATAAGTTCTACTTACTGTCTGGTTGGAGATGTTCTCCTGATTGCCGTAATATATGTGGGCATGGACATGTGAAAATCTGGGATGGGCAAACGCGAAACGACCAGCTTCTCATTGGAACGTACTGCAAAAATATGAAAAACCTTAACTCAGTGAGGACCACTGAGAAACATATGTTGGTTGAGTTTTACAGTCACGACGATTCCTTTACCTTTGAAGTAGGAATAATGTCCCGAAAAGGTCAGTCTTTCCCATGTTGTTAGTTTTTAGGATCCTTAAATTAATTTTTTCCTGTTCTTGTTTTCTTGAGCCTCTCCGGGGAAGCAAGTAAAGGTACAATGGAACCTCGATTTAACGAGCCTCTATATAACGAAGTCCTCGGTATGACGAACGATTTTAATCTTCAGCCCGGCCAAAATTACAATAAAATGTATGGAACAGAACATCTATTTGACGAAATCCTCGTTATAACGAACACAATCCACAAGCGCAAACGTAAAATATACCTCGATATAATGAATAAATGTCAGCGTGTGATAATAGATAAATGCCAAATATACCAACAAGGATAAAGTTTATGTGTACAGTAATTTTAAGCAGGTTTGTTTGCCTGTTCTTGAGTTTCTAGTGCCATAGCTATGTATAGCTCGGTACCGAAATGTTTGTACAGTAATTTTTCAGATCCGGAAATCCTGGGTTTTGTAAATTAATTCATGATTAACTATACCTCGATATAACGAATATTTTGGTAGTTTTCCCGAAAATTCGTTTATTGGGGGTGTTGGATATAACGAACAAATTTCCCCAGTCCCTTGGCACTTCGTTAAATCGAGGTTCCACTATACAGTGATTTCTCCCTGGTATTATCAGGAGCGGTCCTGCGTACAAAAAGGTTTCTCAAGAGGGTACTAAATAAAACTCTTGGCATTCCCTGGGGGCCGATTCACGAAAACAACTCAAGTTTTTGCTCAAGTTGCATACACAGGCAGAAAACCATGTGGATCATTTGACCAGATTTTGTCTGAATTGTCAATGTTGACAAACTGCACTACGCAGGTTGGTAAGGCCAATGACTTTTCTCAACTCACCCTTCCGTGAGTTGCCCTTGAAGAAAGTGTTGCCCATGCTCAGACGTTCCTCATTAACGGTTTTCGAATTAAACTGAGTGTGAGAGAGAGGTTTGGAACAATCATGTGTTTGGTGAGCCTCAAATTCTTTGAGGAAAAGTCTTCAAATTTTAAGTATGGCCGTGTTGCTTACACTCATACTTCACTTTTTTGAGTAAACCTCCCTTAGATTCACTTTGATTCTCGTATGGACACCCTTGGTGACAACGAGATTAGCGTTAGAG